TAAAGAAGATGAGGTTTTAGATTTCTCGCGTCTGTTTGTGAATTTTCTTAGTTGTGATAGGTATGTAGAAACTTGAGGAAAAAGGAGAATGGAAATATTTCACGCTTGAAGATATAGAGAATAAAAAAGCTGGGGAAAAAAAATTCAGATCTAAGCTTATTAATATTTGGCTACACATTTGTAAACTTGTAAGTGAGCTAAAATAATGCAAGGTCAACTTATGGAGTGCATTATTATGTAATTTGTCACACTTCTTTTTTCTTGTTTCTTGTATATCCCTTATGTTTAATTCTCTTTTCTTGTTTCCCATATTATATTCCCTCTATTTTTCTGTCTGATTTCAACTACTGTTCGCATCTGGGATAGACTCAGGGAGGAGCTAAAGCACGACTTACGGGTTTAGCAGAGTCCAGTAACTTTTTCTTAATTTTTTACCTTTAAGGTATTGACAACGTCGCGACATCAATTTCTTATATATATAATATAATATATATATATATATATAATATATATATATATATATATATATATATATATATATATATTAAAAGCACGAAGGACCTTAGCGTAATGTTGTTCGCCTTTTTTACCCTTTAAAAATAGAGTTTACATTGGATAAAATAGTAATTTAGTTATTTTCCTAATATGTATGAATAGTCATTTAATCATTTTCCTAATATTTAGGACTACAAAATCAACTAGATTTTATATATTACGTTCTTCCTTATTAGGAATACGTAGAAAGCCTTAATATTTAATTAGAACTTCAAAAATATTACGTATTGTAGACAATAAATTGCGTCGAGAAAATAAAATCAAGACCGAAAATATTGCAACAATCGTAGTATTTTATTTCGAATATTTGAGTGTTACAATCTCTATGAATCCTCTGATTCTTCTTTTCAATAGTAAATAAATTCAAGGGCCTTTGAGCTTGATCTTGAATCTATATTTGTTTCCACGAACGATGATCTTGTTCTTGAGCTTGAGCTTGAGCTTGATTGCTTGAACTTGATCTTGATTCGTTCTTCGTTCTTCGTTCTTGAGCTTGAACTTTATTTCTTGAACTTGAACTTGATTTCTTGAAGCTTGAAACTTGTAGAGAAATTTGCGGTGTTTGATCCACGAGCTCTCTCTTGCTTCTTGTTATAACTTCTGGTCTCTTTTCTGAGTTATGAAGACCCCTATTTATAGTTGTGGAAGGGAGGAGTTGTGATAAGAACAAACTCTTTCCGACCAATCAAATTAAAGTGTGACATGGCCGCATTTGATTGGCCAGAACATGTCACTTGCACACGTGGTGTGATTTCATTGGCCTTTTAGTGTGACTTGGCATGCCTGTCATTTTGACACGTGGCATGATCCCATTGGCTTTTCTGTTTGACTTGGCGCGCCACGTCATTTGACATGTGGCACCAAACTGGGCCTCTAGGAAGATGACATCTTGGGCTTAATGAAGTGGACTCATCACTCTAGCCCAAATGGGCTAGCCCAATGGATTAAGACTTATTTATTTAATCCATATATATTGGACTTATATAATTAATTCAATTATATTAGCCCATATATTTATTTGGACCAATATATCTTGACTTTAAAATAAGTCCAAATTAATCTATGAATTTAATTCGTACAAATTTTATATGCCTACAAATACCCCCTACTTCAAGACTTGTCGGGGTATGAATAAACTGGATAAACCTCAATACAAGGCTTGAAGTATAAGTGAAGTATCAAATCGGACTCAAGTTAATATATCTTTTTTTTTCTCGGGTCAAATTAGAACTTCTGAAAAAGTATCCATGCACTTTATTTGTAGTGCATAATTCCTTTCAACTACTTGGATTTGTCTTCAAGACTTTTAACAGCAATTCTCCTTAAATAGTTAAATAAGGCTAAGACACGTAGCTAGTAAACTTTGGTACTTGAATCTATCACTGCCAGGGATTGCAACTCATTTGCCAAATTAGAAGATCTCTTTAATGTAATGATTAGGCAAAACAATTTAATTCGAAAAGGGGATACATGATTTCAGGAGCTATTTACATGTCCTACATGTAAGTAATCCTATTTGCAACATGATTTGGTTAATTACGGCGTCTCCTATTTGCAACATGATTCATTGCAATCATTGCCGCCTCTACGAAAGGTTATTACACATCCGAATCCTTTTCTAACACATTCTCCTGGTCCGTCTTACAGTAACCACTTCCAACTAGGAGCAGTGACTATGTCCCACATCGAACTTTTTCTTCCTATAGCCTTCTTGCAGTATCTATATAAACCCCATAAGTTCATGTAGTTCGAGCATCAATCAACAGCTTCTGCAAATCTCGTGGATCTTGTCCATAAACAATTAGAAAACATTAGTGAAGGTAATTTCTTCTTCTTTTCTCGTGCTTTCTTTATTTTATTGTCTTTTTTTTTTTGTAGTTCAAGCAAGAAGGATGTATTTTTGTTTAACAAGACGATCCACGCATGAAGGAGGCGGTCTTAGGGTGTGAGGGGATGGGTACTCATCCCTGCCCAAATATCGGAGGGATTACTTTCATGGCCCGATTCTTGGAGAGATTACTCTCAATGTGGCCCAAACTATCGGTGAGGCCAACTTAAGGTGCAAAGGGACGTATATATCCACCTTTAGATTGGAAAGTTATAGTTCCTTTTAAGGACAAACCCGCGAAGAGGCCAACTTAAGGTGCAAAGGGACTTATATGTCCATCTTAAGATTGGAAAGTTATAAAGCTTCAACTCGAAGATGACATCAACTTGAACACTTGGAAAACTTTGAAGATTTTGCGGACTTTGCAGACTTCAACTCGAAGATTCGGAGGGCTTAAATAAATCAACTTTAAGACCGACGAATTTGAAGACTGAAACTTGAAGACCGACGAACTTGAAGACTTCAACTTTGAGACTTGGAGG